GTTCCATTTCGCAGTGCTGGTTACATAACTTTTATTTTCTACATAGTTGGCCATCACCCCTCTTTTACTTTTTACTTGTTCTTCACCATATGTCACCCCTCTCCATGGCCAAATTTAAAAGGCTGGCAAACATGGTTCTAATTCGGCTTCCTTCCTGCACTCGCTGTTGAGGCTTTGGTAAACTGAATTAGTGGCCCCTTCATCTACACAGCAAGGACACACAGCCCATCTGAAAGAACAAATACAGAGATTAAAGGAGCCTATTTAATGGCACACATCACCATTCCTGGTCTCCCCTACCAGTGCTCTACTCTCATTTTCTCACCCAAATGCTCTTCCCAGCCCTGGGGGATTCGGTGTGAATTAACAAGCCTGAAACACAGAATAATGTAAAGGCTTTCAAAGTGCTCAGCATTCAGATCATAATCTCCATGGCCCAGATTTCTTGACCTCCTCTTAAGCACTCTCAAGTGTGTCTCCCCTATTCCTGTCCAGGGCTCCGGAATATCACTGGCATGGTTACTGGAACACGCCCTTGCGCCCCGTACCACTTCTAGGTGGGATAGTGGTCAAGCTCCCTGTGTGCTAAGTATATCCTTTTGTTCTGATCCTTTGGCATCCTGGAACTTTAGAGACCTGAATGATCTGCCCCTTCTGGAGCTGGCCAGTTCCGAGATAGTAATGGACACACATTTGAGTGTGTTTTGCACACTCACATCAAACCATCCAGACCATACTCCATCACCCCTTTCTTGGGCTCTCACACAGGGGCCACTGTCCCTCTGCTATGATCACCCCAGTGCAGGCATCAGGCGACTGTAGACATCCCTGTACCCCAGAGTCCACTGAAACTGTTCAAGCTAGTCAACCCCAATCCTGTGTGCCCTGCTTTGCCCTGCCCTTTTGCAGAGGCCACAACAAGGTCCCCTTCCTTCCTCTGTGTCCTAACCAGCCAGAGGTGTCCCTATGTGATCCCCTGTGGTGTGGTATGGTATGTCCCTACTCTTCGCATCTTTAACCAGTTGTCTTTCCAGTGACAGTCATTTCCTGATCTGTGGGCCTCACTGTACCTGGATAATAAAGCCTACACATTAAAACACTTTTCCCAACGGTAATGGTTCATTTTATATGTCAATTTTCTTGAGGCCAGGGATGCCCAGATTGTTGGCTAAACATTATTTCTGGTTGTGTCTGGGAGGATGTTTCTGGAAGAGATTAGCATTGGAATCAGTAGACTAAGAGGCCACCTTACAGTGTGTACAAGCATCATAAAGGCCCAAAGAGAGAGAGAGACAGAGACAGAGACAGAGACAGACAGGCAGAGAGACAGAGGATTTTTTTTCTCCTGAGCTGGGATATCTATTGTCCCCTGCTCTTGGACATCAGAGCTCAGAGTTCTCAGGCCTTTGGACTCCAGGACCTATAGCACCAGGGTACTGCTTGCTGTGGTTTGGGAGCTGGGTAGCTTCAAAGTGGAGGAGGTCATAGTCTTCCCTCTGAGCACACAGAGTCCACTGAGAAAGAGGTGATGTATAAGCTGAAGTCCAGGATTGGGAAGGAAAATCTGCTTCAAAGAAGAGAAAACATTGCAACTAGTAACACATCCCCACTGAGGCTGATGTCAGAGACTCTTCTTTTGTAGCTTTTGAAAAAAATCATGTATCAGTGAAGCATGGATACCTTATGGTATTTCATACTAGTTAATGCAGATAAATGCGAATAGTTTTTATAAGGATAGGGTTGTAATGTGTGTCCATGGCAAACTGTAGCTCCCTCAAAAGTATCGGATATAAGTAAAGAAGTTTTGGATAAGTGATTTGCTCTAATGTACCAAAGTAGCCCACAAAGGTTCTCTGTCTTGGACCTCATTCAGGAAGATTTAAATACCCGGAAAACCTGAAAGCCCAGGTATAGCATGGCATAGCCCCAGGTGGACTATTAACAAGCTTAGTGCTGCAGCTCTAAGTAGAGCAGCTATTAAATAAGATGCTACATTTCATAAAAGACTGCCACCTAGGGCTAGGGATTTAGTTCAGGGGTGCTGTGGCCTGCCATGCAAGCGCAAGGACCTGAGTTCAATCCCTGGTACCAAAAAAAAAAAAAAGATTGCCACCCATTCGACTACCCATTATACACACCCTGCAGGGGCAAAGTTGTAAGAGGGACCTCAGTGGCCTCAAGTAGGTAAGAGTTTCACCCTAAGGTCCTAACTAAATTTTTGAAGTCAGTTCAGTATTACATGCTCAGTCTTTTGGGCCTTAAAATTATGTGAATAGCCTTACAAAAATCTAAAGGATTGGGGCCGGGGATTTAGCTCAATGGTTTGGCCACCTGCTGTGCAAGCACAAGGATCCGAGTTCAGTCCCCGGTACCAAAAAAAAAAAATATCTAAAGGATTTCTGCGCCTGCCTCGCAATTGCAAGGTCCTGAGTTTGATCCCTGGTACCAAAAAAAAAAATCTAAAGGACCCCAAATATGCCAGCTGTTTTGTTTTGCTAAATTTGACATTGTTGATAATGGATTTTAATATGAGCTTTGTTTCATATTTAGAAATATGATCTTTATTTCTTGATTTATCTAGAGGTTCAGGTGACTGAACTTGAATAGTTACTGGTCATCTCATTAGTATTCAACAGAGCTGAAAGCTTCCATAAGGTACATTAAGTTGTCTACTGCAAAAGAATTGTTGTGTGATCAGTGCCAAGGGTGGTTTCCTCAGTATGGCCTGCACTAAAAAGGTGGGGGATACAAATTAGACGTACATTTTACATTTTTCTTTCCATTCACAAAAATTATTTATGTAAACATCAAGAGAAGAAAAATGACAGTCAGTAAAAATCTGCGTGTTGGTGATTTTTACTGTCTTAGTGGGACTCTATTACTGGCATAAAAATGCCATTATGCAGAGAGAACTTAGAGTCTTGTAATGATTATTGCTTAAAGATAACACAGGATTTAGCTAACATTCTAATAAAAGGAGCTATTAGAATTCGAGAGTAAAAATTTTATACTAAAATATTTTACAACTAGAAATTTTGTTTGCTTTTTTACTCCCTCCTGGAATCTGAATTGTGTCATTTATTGGAACAGATGATACAGAAGAAGTGGGCTGTGTGACAAAGGTGTGTCACACTTTTAAGAAAGTTATTTTTAAAAAGCCTACCCCCCGCCAAAGGAATGGAAATTATGGACTTAGAGCTTTTGCCAACAGTTGGCCGTCTTATATCTCCACACAATCCTGCGAAAGTTAAATCTGCACCTTGTAGCCTCAGCTTCTCCTAGTGCTTTTAGTCATAGCCTTGTAACTAAGTTGTGTATCACTTGCCAGCTGGCCTTGTTGTGGTTAAGTAAAGTTCCATTTTCAGAGTTTATTTCCAGGTATACCTGATGATCACAATATTCTTCCTCATTCCTGACTAAAATCATAGATCCCATCAGCCCATGTTTCTATGATATGGGCTGCTTTACTTCCAATAAATCTTATTCTTTTCCCTCAAAAATAAACATTCCAATCTTCCCACTTCCATATGCTGCATGAATATTTTTTGGCGCACACTGTCACCATCCTTCCTGTTATTTGTGAATGCTTCAACCTGCCCATTTCCCTTTTTAAATTAGCCACAGCATCCCAGGAGCTGTTGGGAACTTGGGGACCAGATGCATTCAGGAACTGATTCTCAGAGCAGTGGTTCTGAGCCACATGGGAACATGTGGAATCTCCACAAAGACAGACATATGTGGGTGGATGTGTGTATTTGCATACGACTTCAGGGGATTTCTGGAATACGTTGTAGTTCATTCATCAACTGTGTGCCTCCTGGGACAGCAAGCTAAGAATAACCAAGGAAGCTTAGTTCTAACCACACGTCTGGCCTTTCAATATGAAACAGAGAATTTGAATCTGCACCTGAGGGCTTTTGGAGGTGTTTATTTTTTGGTAAGATGTATTCTAAGATCCAATTATACTTTTCTATTATATTTGTTTGGTTTTTTTTCCGGTACAGGAATTGAATTCAGGACCTTGAGCTTACCAGGCAGGTGCAGGGCCACTGATCTACATCCCTGGCCCTCAAGTATATTCGTGTATCAAGTTTTTGGAATCTGATTGCATTTAAAATGAACTTAGTTGGCTTCTGTTGGGCTGACTTGTTTAGACATGTTTGATCTTTGGGGCTAATGGGCTCATGAGATTTTTTTAAATGGCCCACCCACCCTCATCCCTGACTAGGTCTTCATGCTGGCATTTGTCCCTTGTTTAGTCATTTAGAAATGACTCAAACCTTGCAGAAAGTAAAACAGATATGTATTCTGACTACTGGTCCTAATGTAATTGTTTTAATGTCTGTTTTGGGAATTTATGGCATCTTTGACTATTTAGTAAAGACAAGGGAGGAAATGTATAGGTTTTTGAATGTGTCATTTAACTGGATACAGTAATTGGGTAAAATATTTTAAAAGAATTGTTCAGTCCTGTGAGTTAGTGAGCTCTAGTCTCATTTTTTATCCTCTGTTTTGCTGTCTGTGTCTTAATTGATGCCATCCCCCTCCCATTTCCCTCTTACCAGCTCATTTCCCCTCACACACTTATGTTTGTCAGACACTGAGGTTAAAACATTCTGCCATGAGGACCCTCCTGGGTGGCACGTGTCAGCTCTGACAGGTGATTGTGGCCTTTCCTCCTGTCTGAGGTCATATAGTTCAGCACCTCAGCCCACAGCCCTTCTTCCTGCTCAGCCTGAAGGTGAATCTTAAACCAGAGCATGTTGTGTGAGAAGAGCTAGTCAGATTTTATAAAGAATGGTGGCCTTCCAATGCCTGGCATTTACTGGTGAATTTTATCAGTGCAACAATATGCTAAATTCTTTAAAGATCAGAGCTGAAGTCTCATGTGTCTCCACGGTTTGAGGGTAATACAGGCAGCCAGTTGACTCACCTGTTTTAAAAGCTTGTGTCCGGACTCCTGGCCCCTGCCTCTCTCAGCCAGCCTCCTGTCCTTGCAGGTTATGGCCACACTGTGCCCTTGTCGGATGGGGGCAAGGCCTTCTGCATCATCTACTCGGTCATCGGCATCCCCTTCACTCTCCTGTTCCTGACTGCTGTGGTCCAGCGCATCACCGTGCACGTCACCCGCAGACCTGTCCTCTACTTCCACATCCGCTGGGGCTTCTCCAAGCAGGTGGTGGCCATTGTCCATGCCGTTGTCCTTGGGTTCGTCACCGTGTCCTGCTTCTTCTTCATCCCAGCTGCTGTGTTCTCGGTCCTGGAGGATGACTGGAACTTCCTCGAATCCTTTTATTTTTGTTTTATTTCCCTGAGCACCATTGGCCTGGGGGATTATGTGCCCGGGGAAGGCTACAATCAAAAATTTAGAGAGCTCTACAAGATCGGAATCACGTGTGAGTATCCATGTGCTCAGTGTCCCACTGTCTTGTGTTGCTGCTCATGCTCTGCTTTGCATTCTGAAGAGTAAACAGGCATAGACATCTTGGTTACTTTCTCTTTGAAAGCCTTTTCTTCTTAACACCTGCCCACAGCTATTTGGTTTCCTGATTCCCATCAACACTATGCAAAAGCCTTAATACTTAGTTATTTTTCCTAGGCACCTGAAAACTACTGATAAGTTTCTTACTCATGATGTCATAGGCATTATATTACAGTATAAAAATAGATCATGTAGAATGTACCTGATAACCATCTTTTAATAAAATAAATTGCTCTGTTCTATGAAATATTGTAACTGCAAGAAAATGAGGTCTCAGATATATAGCCTGTTACTATCAATTATGTTTTTTAATTTACCAGGAAATTCATGAAAGTCATGTATCTCATTTGTCCATCTGGTTCTTTTTCATTTTTTTTTTTTTTAAGGAGAAGGTTTAATTTAGTGCACATGGTTCTTTTTCAGAGAAGGTATCTAATATTTTCAGAATTTTATATGCAGAAAATAAAGTAGGACTTAAAATTCAGATGGCCAGTGATTTAAAATTTTTAAAGAATGTTTGTTTTAAATTTAGTGTCATACCCTGAAAAACTTAGCCCTTCATTTTCTGGAAAATGGGTTTTTTTAATTAGACTTCCCTGTTTTGCAGAAGGGAACTCTTGCTGTTATAGTGTAAACACAGTTTTTACTCTGCTTTCCCAAGAATCTTTCAGTGTGTGACCCGGCCCAGGCTGTGTCTTCTAGGAAATCAGAGTAGCTGCCCAGGCAGTCAGGTGCTTGATCCTGGCCCTGTCTTGTCATCTTAACCCCGCTGAATGCTCAATTGAACATTTTCATTAAACTGTGGGCTTAGCTAGAACAAAGACTTCACTCATAAATCCCCAATGCTTTCAGCAGTGCCTGGCTCACATACAGGTTCCCTAGATATTTGCCAAATGATTTCATGAGGAGGATTTCATAGTTCCTAAGTATTATTTTTAGTCTTATTTTACTAGGTGGCTGCACCAACATCCGTCCATGCATGCCTCTATTGTGGTTATTTAGGTTGCTTCTAATTAGGGCATATTATAAATAACATTGCAGTGAATATCTTTTTTATATTTATACTCTTTGTACTTTCGTATCTTTCTAAGAAGTAGAATTGCTGGTCCAAAATAAATATGCCTCTTTGACCCACAGAACATGTTGACCAGAGCTGTCCAGGTGGTGTTAAGAGCCTGCAGGGTCCGCAGTGTCACCTGAGCATCACAGTTTAAGTTCTCCTGGGTGGTGTTGGCCAGTAAGCTTACAGCCATTTTTTTTCTGTGTGTGGATTTAATCACAAAATAAACATTATTTGAACTTTTTTTTTTAGAAATGGGTAATATCTAATTTTAATTTTTCATTTTTTTCATGATTTAGGGAAGTAAAATGTTTTTGTAATTAGGTTTGCTGGTGATACTTTTCTTTTGTGCGGATTTTAGTCTCATTTTGCCCAATAGTTTAGCTTACTTGGATTTTCACATAATACCAAATCCTTGCATACATCACTTCATGACTTCTTACAATGGGAATCCTACTTTTTTTTTTTTAGGTGATCTGTCCAGGGTTAGTTTATATTTTCAGTGTTAAGAACTTATATATCTAACAAATGAAAGTTTCAAAAGCATTTTAATTGTAGGTTGGATAAAATCTTACATTTTGAAAACCAGTGGTTATTTCTTTCAGTATTCAAGGGTTTGACTAAATAATAATGAGGGAATATAGCAGATTCATCAATTAATCTGACTCTTAAGGTCATTGCTATTTCTAAAACACAAGAAAGCACATTGCATATGGTATATTATTATGAAAGTTTATAGTCAAGTTCTAAATGTACCAAAACTTTGCATTCTTAGGATAATCAGCCTCCTTTCTCCTATTACGCTGCCAATGCTAGATTTTGTAGTTCATGTATTGTCTGAAAATCTTACTGAAACATTTGAGTGCTAGGACATGAATTAGTAATTTTGTTATTCTTGGGGTTTTTTCATTTTTACTTTTCTGCTCCTTTTCATAATGATCATTTTTCCCCCCAGGAAAAATATTGAAACTAAGATAAAAATTACCATTTTCCCATCAAAAATTCCAAGAAATAGCACTGTGTTAGAATATGCAGTTGTCTTTTTTTCAGAATTAAAAGAAAAAATTGGAGAATTAGCCAGTGAATGGTCTATGTGTCCAAAAACTGTCTCTGAAAACTTCAGTTTGCTGCTGCATTTAGGTACAGTGTAAACAGTCGCACACCAAGACCTATTTAATACTGATACCAGTTCCTAATGGAATTTTAATGTAATTTCTATTACTACACTTCTCATTCTATAGCAGAAAAAATAAAAATATTGACTACTTTAAAGATGCCTATGATAAATTGAAAACTTGTCTGAAATGTTGCTGGCTTTTTGTAAACCACTGACTCTCAAGCCCTGGTGGAGAGCCCTCCTGATGGCGGGTCTCACTTGGTTGGGTGCTCCTTGGTGTCTGTCTTAAGCACCAGCCTTTTTCTGTTTCCTCACATTGTAGCCTATGCTTCTAAATAATCCAGGGTCACAGAGGGCAAAGCCATTCTTTATTGTCTTTCTCAGGGCAGTTCTTCTTTGAGCCAGGGGCTTCAAACTTTCCTGGAAATTAGAAAAGTAGCAGTGAGTGTGTTCATTAGCTTCCCTGTGTGATTTGACGGCCCTTTGACACTTGGTGTCTTCACACAGGTTACCTGCTGCTGGGCCTCATAGCCATGCTGGTGGTTCTGGAGACCTTCTGTGAGCTCCACGAGCTGAAGAAGTTCAGGAAGATGTTCTACGTGAAGAAGGACAAGGACGAAGACCAAGTGCACATTGTGGAGCATGACCAGCTGTCCTTCTCCTCCATCACAGACCAGGCAGCCGGCGGGAAGGAGGAGCAGAAGCAGAGCGAGCCCTTCGTGGCTGCACAGGTGTCTGCCTATGTGGACGGCTCTGCCAGCCACTGAGAGCCTGGGCTTCCTGCCTTGGGCTGCAGCATGGGGCCAGGGCCAGGGCCAGGCTTAACCGTGTCCATTTGTATGAGAACATAAAGGCCATGGTGATGTTATTTTGAAAAATAACTACTATTTGCATTGCTTTAAGAAATGGAATAAAGGAATCCTTGACTTTGGAGAGATGTCTAATATCTGGGGAAATGGGATATGTACCTGTGATTCACATATGGCAAAATTATCTGTACTAATAGAAAACTTGAAGCTGTATGCTGAGTGGATAGAAGCAGATTTTGTATTTTTACTAGGGGATGTTGGGGTTTGCATTGAAATCATTTAACTGATGGCTAAATAACATTTATATTTAAAAGCAAAAAAAAAAATGAAGTGGTGTTTTATAAATAGGATTATGTGTACTGGTTTGCATGTACCCATCCAAAATGATTATTTTTGTAGAATCTAAGTTAAACTTACTATTTATAATGGATAGGTTACCATTAACTATGTACATATAAAGTATAAATATGTTTATATTCTGTACATATGGTTTAGGTTACCAGATCTCACTGTACTTCTTAACTCAAAATTGTAGATACTTTTTCTTTTGATTTCTCTTTATACTAAAGAGTCCAGAATTGCTACAATAAGATGGGCAATAATAAATTTAAGAGTAAATAACTGTAATATTCTGTTATAATAAGCATTTCTACCTTCTTGCAATAGTATGATATCAGATGTCTGAAATATCTGTAAACTTTTTTTCTGGAAGATGAAAAGCAAGGAATAGCAGAATTTGTAAAAAAATTGAGCTATTTTGTTTAGAAAGTACATTGTGTTTATACCTACCTAATACTAAAGCACAGAACTTAGACATAAACGCTCCAAATGAAGACTATGTTGCATTTATCTAAAGGTCCTAAATTAGAAGCTAAAATAAATAAAAATCATGGTTGGTTGTAATCCTGTGCATTACTATATCAAATATTTTTTTCTGCTATTTATGTACATACATATTGCACTCCTTTATAGAAACCAAAAAGATGACATTTAATTGATATTTGTGAGACACAATGAAGAATTGTAGAAGGAAAAATTAGGAAGACCTTTCATGATAATGAATGTTCAGTGTCCGCTAGCTGAGTCTCCTCTATGGTAGATTGCCCCAACCTGAGCCCCCGTGAAGGAACTGGCCACACTCTCTGATTCAGTTACAGCATTGCGCAAAGTAGCCCTCTACCCTCTACTGCACATGCCTCCCAGAGAAAAGCATCACAGCCCTGCCCTGCTCACTCCCATGTTACCCCTCTGACAGTGTATCCCCGGACTCAGAGCACAGCCCTTCTTTATCACACAGAGTTGTGTCTTGTTGCAGAGCAACAGGCAACATATTTTGGGGACAGCATAATAAGGAGTCATCTCAATTCTGCAGCCCCCTGTGCGACGCTGGCCTCACCTCCACAGTGGAAGCCTGTTCTCCCAGGCAACAACTCCTTGACAATAGAGGTGTGGACCTGGCCAGGTCTGCACTGTGATCTTAATGTCTGGTGTGGTGTGGTGAAAGATCTGGGGCTGCAGAGTACAAACCAGGGTAACAAGGGGCCATACTTGGAGAGGGTCCCTATGTTTTGTGCAATTCAGGGAGAAAGAACTGGTTTCTGACAGCTGCTGGGCTTTAGTAAGGAAAGGGAGGCCAAAGTTCACTAAATGAGGAAGCACACAAAAGAAAACCTCTGAATCAAGCTGTCATTAATAAGTAGTAATTTTAGAAGCTGGTATTCTGCAGGGTACACAGCACCGTAATGCCTTTCAGACTTTTAACCTAAAGAGTGAGGTACACACATTGATCTTGTTAGATAGGAGATGCTTCGCAAAGTGTCTTCCTGGGCTGGACAGATGTTACCCTGAGGTCCTGAGGGAGAGACAAGCTGGATCAACCAGAAGATCTGGTCTGCCTCTCATAGAACAGAAACCAGCCACTGGGACATGAGGAGAGGGAGGATGATGTGGTAGCAGAGCTGCACAGGAACTGATGTGGGACCCTGGCTGGAGATAAGAGTGTAGAGTGGGAGGTAAATACAGGTATGGGGCATTCTGAATGGTGAGTATGAGCTGGGTCCAGGATCCTGCTGCCAAGTGCCAGTGTCCTCACTGAGCTCCAGAGTCCCACATCTTGCCCTGGGGATGGAGAAGCAGCAGAAACCACTGTCCTTCACCAAGGACACTGCCGTGCGGTAGGGATGTGGATTTCAGAGCAGTGGATTTGCTCCATATTAGGTGAAAGCAGGTTACACCAGAGTGGGAATTCTCAGCTTCCAGATCAAGAATACAAATTGAGGGCTTAGATTCTGTAAGAATTTGTGAAGAGATTCACGGGACAGATGGAGCTTGGCCCAGATCACTCCATTTATGAAACTAAGTGTCTTCATGTGTTTCATGTTGCTGTAACAAAAACACAAGGCTAGGTTGTAATGTAAGTAATGAGATTGATTTGGCTCAAGATTATTTGCACAGACCATCAAGACAGCATGATGCTGAAGTCCTGGCAGGGGGCCTTGGGAAAGGGAAAGGGAAGATATCAAGCATGAGAGGTGTAATCCCAAGGGCTGTGCCCATGACTTAAGCCTTGCACTCTTAAAGGTCCAATGTCCTCAGCTTGATTCTGAGGACCAAGCTCCCAGCCTGTGAGCTTTTGGGGGTCAGACTACATGCAAACCCTGGCACTGTGGTTTCTCTAGTCATCAGGTCCCAAGACATTCACAAAGTGGTCTGTTCAAAGTTCAAGAGGAAGATGAGTAGGAGAAAAAGCAGAGCATTTTTGAATAGACAAATATCATATGACTTCAGGAAAAAATACCTGGGAATGATTAGATTGCCAAGATATAGAATCATTCCTCCCTCCCCCAAAAGTAGTCATGTTCATATTTTATACAAATCATATACCTTTGGACATGTATATTATGTGCCTTTTGGAAATGAGAGAGAAGTTATTTGTAAATCAAGAGATAATTAAAAGAGTCAATGCAAACCCTCTTTACCCTTTAAAGTTAGAGTGGAACATTGTCTTTAAAAGTTGATATTTGTGGGCCTGGGATTTAGCTCAGTGGTTCTGCTGCCTGCTTCGCAAGTGCAAGGTCCTGAGTTTAATCCCCGGTAACAAAAAAAAATAGTTGATATTTGCCTCAAACAAAATTCATTGCTCCGGGCTGAGCAGATTCGCAAAAGCTGTAACAGACACGTCCTCAACTTGGGAAGGAGATCCATCTCAGCTGTACTTCCAGAAGTATGTAAGGCAGATTTAGAAACTTACGGTTGAAATTAAAATGACACAGTATTTGCTAAGTCCTTTATTTGACTATGCCCAACAAGGTTGTAAATATTTCTGTAATATAGTTAAAGGTTTCCCTATAACAACTTATACTTCTCCAAGGGTTTTACTTTATGGAAATGTGTTATATCCAGATGTTTTGGGAGGTAAGCCATGTGACTGCTAAGGACAGTTTTCCTATTTCGCTCATCTAGGAAGTACTGTTAGGAGAATACAGCTTTAAAAATGCAGTAAAGAATACAGAACACAGATGTAAACAAAAACTCTTTTAAGTAGTATTTTCATGGCCTAGCAATAAAGCACATCGAATAGGAAGTACATCTGCTCTTTGCTTCACTCAGAACTCATGCTTACTTTGCCTGCAGTGTTAATAAAATCTTTCCTGTCATTTCCCAGCTCACAGAAAATAAAGGAAAGAGATACTAATGGATAATTCTGGAGTTTTGTGCTAGCAAAACTCATATTATAGTTGTTGGTGGACATGTTAAAAATGTGGAAGTCTCAAAATGCAAATTGCCAGTAGTTCTGGGCAGGTGCTTGGGCAGCCCTGAAATGGTGCTCTGTGTCCCTTGGTTCCTGCAGCAGCAAGGGCGTTCCTGGCTCCCCTTGGGTGTCCTGTGGCACTTAAATCCCAGAAAAACAGCCCTACGCCCTTTTCACCAAGAAGGAGAAATGGTTCTGCCTTCCAGGGGCTTACAACCTACCTGCCACTTAGAGCAGGTTTTATCCATTCTGTGCCATGCAGGACATGCCAGGTCAATACAGTTGCACACAAAGGAATAATTACTGGTGGCAAGAATGGATGTCTCCTACTGGTAAAATGTGCTGGGCCCACCATGTGGTTTACAAGATCTGCATGCCCTGTGCCACCCTCAGGGAGCACCTCATTAACTGCTGGAACATGCAGAAGGGCAGGAAGTCTTGCAGACAGCCTGCTGGAAAAGATGCTGAAACCCTCTATGGCAGACCTGGAGGGAGAAATAGGTGGGGCCAGGACAGCACATTTCTTTTTTTTTTTCCCCATTAAGTTTATTGGTACGTTTTAGGTATAAATACAGTTACATTCGTCATTGGGATCTTGTACCTTTACATGATGTATCTTGGTTCTTATTTTTTTCACCTTCCCCTGCCCTCCCTTCACCCCCTCCACCCTTCCTTATTTGCAAAGACTTTGTTTCCATTTTTTTTCTTTTCTCATATTTTTTCTTTTCCTTTCTTTCCTTTCCCCTATCCCTTCCACTTCCCCTGCTCCTTTAGACCTTTTCTTCCTGTTACACAGTATCAATTATACATATTTAAAATTACAATATCAAGATCTAGGAGACATTACCACAGGTTTTACAGAATTTAAAAGGATATAGAAAGAATATTACAAAAATCTTTTTTGAAATAAATTTGACAACTTCTAAGAAGTACCTTGGAAGACAAATTAATGAAACTAACTCTGGAGGAAATATAAAATTTGAATAGCACCTATTAAAGAAAGTATATTCCTAGCTTGAAAACTTACCTATATGACAACAGCAGGCTCATATACATTTTAACTGATAAATTATATCAAACATTGAAAGCAGAAAAAAGAAGGAACACTTCTCCCCACATTTTAGGAAATCAACATTGTGCTAATCCTAAAACTGGGTAAAGATAATAGAAGAAAAAAGTATGAACATAGATAGAAATTTGTTTAACAAAACAAACTATTAGAAGTCAGATCTGGCAGTATGTAGAAAGTGATTTTATTATGGGGATGACAGTATTGGTTCAGCGTTGGAAGATCCACCCCCAAAAGTCATCCTTTTAACAGAGGAAAGGAAAAAGCCATATGATCCTGTCACTAGTTGGAGAAAAAGTATTGGACTAAATTCTACAACTGCTCATGGTAAAAGCTATCAGGAGACTAGAAGTAGAACAGAACCTTCTCAACAGATCAAAGATATGTACTCCATACTTCCAGCAAAAACACCTTATATGAATGGAGAAGATACAATGCTTTCTCCTTAAGGTGGGGAACAAGGACAGATATACCTACTCTTCATCTGTCCATTAAACTTTGAAACATAGGCCCAGACCAAAATAGTCTGGCAATAAAATGACACAATTAGGATAGGATTGGCAAGGTAGAGGTAAAATCTTTATATGTAGATGAAATGATCATCTATAGAGAAAATACTAAGAAATCTCTAGGAGCCCCTAGAACTTGTATTTGAATTTAGCAAGATTAGAAAACACAAGGCATATATAACAATTCAGGTCTATGTATACTTGCTATAAATGAAGAATTGGCTATTGAAATGTAAAAGTTATGTAGGAGTACAAAGGGGCTAGAAAAGTAAAAAGAAAAAGAAAAAAAAGTGTTGGAAGACGTTTAGTACCTAATTTTAAGACTTCTTCTAAAGCTACAGTAATCAAGGCAGTGTTGCTGTAAGGAAAGACATATAGATCATTGGAATAAAACAGAGAATCTAGAAATAGAACCACTCTTATATGGTCCACTGAGTTTTGAAAGATTATTTAACATTAATATTTTGTAGAATATAAACTCAATTAAAGAGCAGAGGAAAAGATAGTGTTTTCAGCAAGTGGCTCTAGAACACCTGGTATCTGTATATAAAAAATTAACCTCAACCCTTTATTT